AGTGAACAAGATGTGGAGGTCCCTTCACTTCTTTCACGTTTCGCTGCTCGCGACGGATGTCTGTGGACTGTGCGGCTTATTTCTATTCGCTGGGGAGCAGGTGGAATCAACTGAGGATGGAAATGAGACGCAGGAATGAGGATTCTAAGGAAAATTAGCAGAAGCACGACAACGCGAATGCATATGATCACTCACTCTACAGACTCGGAGTCTCCCATCCTCTCCGACCACTTGTTTTTGCCAAATTTTAATGTATACACTGATACTGAACCAGTGCAGTCATAACTTGCACTTTTGTCTTCCAATGAGTTTCGCTACTTTCTGTATTCTAAAGGGCGTTTCACACTTAGCGTGTCATGCGTCCTTTGCGTCAATGCTTGGGCAGGCAGGCAGACGCACGCGTGCACACACATGTTCACTCGCGTGTCCACTTATATTCTAATGTTTTCCCAAAACGCCAGGCTTGCGAGTGGAATTGGGATGAGCTCTATTGAAAAAGCAAGCCTTGCGTTTTGTGAAAACCTTCGATGTAAGTGGACATGCGTGTGCATGCGTGCGTATGTCTACCTGCCCGAGCATTGACGCAAAGGACGCATGACACGCTAAGTGTGAAACGCCCGTAAGACAGTGGTTCTCAAACTTTGTAAACATGCGACCCCCTAGGAGTATTCTCGGGCTCGTCACGTCCCCCCCTCACGCACACGCGGGAAGGAGCCACATGTTCGAGAAGCTTTCCCCTTAGTGCCCTGACGCTCCAACACCTCGCGACCCCCTTCGTGTCTTGCCACGACCCCACAGGGGGTCGCGACCCACAGTTTCAAAACCACTGTTCTAAGATCAACGCAAACAACACGAACTGGTCACGCTCTCAGGTGTAACAGCTGCATTCCAAAGTAGCCGTACCAAAGAGTCAAATAATTACGGTACTTGGTTCTCTCAGAAGTATAATAAATTCAAGTTTCGTAATTACCTACTATTGACAGGAAGCGACATGCTTATTCGCAAAGTTGCATGTGTCGGAAAGTTCAAATCAAAGAGACAATCATGCAGCAGATTTAAGGCTTCGGCGATCTGATGGCCGCTGCCATACCTCTAGTGCACTACAATACAGTCTTTCAATGGATAGTTTATGGTCCCCATTTACGTACCCAATCATGTGCACTGGAGTCGTGTAAACATAATCTCGTCGGAATTCGCCATTTCTTTTAGCGGCAGAGGGAAACTACTCTCCGTTAGATATCTGTTCTTAGGCACGTACCCATCGGGCTGTTCCCACTATCATCCTCTTAAAACAGAGTACGATGATTAAATAAACAAAGAGAAAACCAAACTTTACGGGCTGCAGGTGGGTCCAATCGAAAAAACAACGATTACGTTAATTCTACACGTCTCTGGTACACGTAGTACAATAACGTAGTAGTTAGGAAAAGTTATTCCTTGCCCCCAATCGAATATATTTTCCTAATTTGTTTTCCCTTTACAAGCTGAAGAACTCTCTAAACGATTAAAATAAAGGAAAGCAATAGCTGATTATTTTCAGTGCAGTCAACGGCCGCAAGGTTGGGGCAATAGGAGCTCCATTAACGTGCGCGGGAGACGAGTTTAGGAAAGCGCATCCTTGTGACGTCACACATGGGAGTCTGTTAATCCATGGAAATCATGTTTGTCTGATTCACTGTTTTGCCTGCTGCTTCAACAGTCCATCACTCTTGTTTCATCTTTCATTGTTTTGACTCTATTTGATTCACCCTTATCAATCATTGCATCAGTGAGATTTGAGCTGGCCTGACAGTGAGATCCATGTGTAGATCCAGTACATGCTCCTGCATCATTCATTTCGAGGAAGATGTCGAATGAAGCGTGGAAGACCAAGGAAAGCAAAGGGACTGCATCATTTCTCATGATTTTTTTATTGTCAGGATATCCTGCATGATAGCAGTCCTTCAGGAAGTGGTTCGAGCAGATATGTGCTGTACTTGGTACTGAGCGGACACCAAAAGCCTTTAGCCAATCTCTTCTTCTTTCAAGGGCATTTGGGAATACACGATATACCAACTTCTCTATCCTGCTCTTGCGATGGGAAGCCCCACAACCAGAAACTGCGCAGGTTTTTCCGTAGGAGTCCCTGAGGTCCCTTGTATGCGCATCATTGTGATGTCACTCTGCATGCGCTCATATTCACGACCTCCTCAACGCCGGGGGTTGCGGCCGCAGGATGGAGCTCTCTTCGTGGCCGCGTGAGTGCGCGACATCTGTCAACATTCGAATGCACTCCCAAGTTCCTGCAGCCAAACTTAGATGATAGCTAAATGCGAAACTCCCCAGCTCCCCAAGGCAGCTCCCCTCTCCTGCTTTTGCGAGGGATGATGATGAAGATAAATGACCGGCGCATGGCAAAGAGAGCGAAAGATCATTTGTTTATAAATATAAATTATTTGAAGCCTGATCTCGACAGGAGTCCTCCTGTAGGCTAGAATTAGACTCTTATGACAGGGGTTAAATTCAAAGCTGCCAAACCCCGTTTGTCGGCCTCTCAAAAGTTTCCTCACGTTCTTAAAATATTAATCGACTGGCGTCGAAGCCCGCTATTCCCGAGAGAACTAAGGCATCGAAATCGCGTAATCGGAAGGGACGTCACCGGAAAAGGAAGTAGATATTGAGGAAGTACAATCAAACGAAAGTGATTCAGCAAGTACCACAGCCAGTGGCGTAGGGAAGGGGGGGGGGGGGGTTAGGAGGTTAGAACACCCCCCCTGGACTTCCCGGTCAGTTACACTGACAGGCATATTTCAGCCTTCCTTGGATAATCCAATTTGTCCGTCCACAGACCCAAGATGCCAGACCACGATTTCTTCGAAAAGGTAAATTCCGAGTAGTGGAGCTAGGTGTAGGATTGGGGTGTCTTACCTGACCTCAACACACCCCCCCCCCTGCCGATTTCGTATCTACGCCACTGACTATAGCAATTACTTCCAATTGGCAAAAACCCTGTATATTTTATTGGACGTTTATGATAACTTTCTTCTTATGGTGACAATACTGCCTTCGATTAGTCTACGTGTAGCAGAGGCGTGTAAATTGAACTTAATCGTTCGCTATTTCTATTGGACCATTCTGCCATTAGTAGTTTCTGGTTTCAACTGTGCTTTTACGACCATCATGCTATGCTTTAACAAGATGATAGTGGGAACGGCGCAATGGGTGCGTGTCTAAACTCAATCTTGACGGAGACTAATTTCCCTCTGCTTCGAAAAATAACGGCAAATTCCAGCAAGATCATGTTTGTACAACTTCAGTGCACATGTTGCACGATCAGGGACCATCAACATTCCATTGAAATACTGTGGAATTGATTTTTGGAAGCGTGGGAATACGAAACCCATCCTTCGCCAGCAGTGAGGCCGCGTCCATTCTTCGCGAGGGCATCTTCGATCCATCAAATCTTCTCTTTCACCCAAGAATCAGAGGAATTTCCTGCACTACAGTGTATCCAAGTCTGCACACATATTCCGGCATTGTGCATGAAGGAAGCCATGCATGGCTGGCCCGTTGCAAAACTGCAATCTTTCCTTCACGACTGCATTGCCCCATAATCGCCTTTTTTGTACCGCTACACATCCTTTAACCATGGATTCGACTCTTCCTATTAACTCGCTCGATCGTCGACAATGAGGAGACTGAATGAGGTCCAAGTCTCCATCAACACGATGTACCAGTACGTTTAAATCTTCCAGTGTCGACTTCCTCGGACTCAGACGTTCATAAATCTGAAGGAATAGAGGGAGCCCGATGAGGCTGGGAAGATGCATGTTCGGCAGGTCACTCATCTGGTCCTCTCCTTCTCTCCCAGCTGTCCTTTTTTGCAATTACGAACGGCTTTCAAATTAATTCTATTCATTCGTCTACAAAGACATGTGCGTGATGCCCATAGATCCTACATTCCACCTGCAAGATCTTCCTTCTTTATCGAATGTCATGCCGCCGCGAGGGATTCGGTTCATCTTGTTTCTGCCCCGCACATCTGGGGAGTAATTCCGTTTTTCTCACGTAGATCTGATGACCTGCAATTCCATTCGACTCTGGGGAAAACGCCCCTGGCTGTGCTCATGAAATTCTATACATCCACGATTGTAAACAACCAGAAACTCAGGGTTGAGGAATGTTTGAGGACAGCGGCACTCCACATCTTACCTTCTTGCTGCCTGTTGTTTACTGGTCACGGAGAGGTGCGGACAACAAAAGCCTAGCAAATCGGCGGCGATCTAGGTCAATAGATGAGAATTTTCCGAATGAGAAGATTGAAACAAGTCCTGAGAAATTTTGAAAAATCGCCAGGATGTCAGTAACAACGTATTCTCTCCATCATGACCCAATGAGAGAGAATAGCGAGTTTATGATGCGTGCAAACTTCGCACTCTTTCCGTTTCCAGTGAGATCAAGGTTTAAAACAGCCAAAAGACTCCCACGAATTATGACACGACGTCAAAACATGGCAGGGCTCTAAGACTCAGGTGGAATGCCCCCAATTCTTTATGTGGGGATGATGGAGGATCCCGGCATTCAAGTCTCCAGCAGGACCATCATGCCGACATCGAGGGACACGAAACGCGACAGATGAGGGGAATTCGATGAAGGAAATCGCAACGAAACGCCCGGAGTTCTCGCGAGCTGAAAGCAGCTGGTGTCACCTGTCAGGTGATTCTCCGTTGATGACGCCCCCCATCCTTCGTTATACTGGAAGAAAGCACAGTTGCAGGGGGGGGATGGGGAGGCATAGGCAGAGAGGGTAACGGTTCCACATGGTTTCCTACGCATCAGCTTGCCCCAGGACTCGGGAGGACCCAGCCAGTATTTTATCCTCATTCGCCTCATTCGCCCTCGCTCTCTCCACGCGCGCACGCTGCACACGCTCTTCAGCATGAGCTAAGCAGCAGCTACAACTGCTGTGGATTTGTGATATCTCGAACCACCTCGTTTTCTTGTGATACGAACATTCTACAATGTGGACGTTGGCGTGGATCGTGACGGCCATATACATCCTGGCCACGGCCACATCCGTGACCGGTAAGTCCTCCTCCCCATCCGGCTCCTTCTTCGATTCACCTGCCGAAGTTCTTCGCATTTCTTCATTCCCCTCTCCCTCGCACCATCATTATTCTGACCGTACAGTATTTGCGGTTGGCAGTTTCAATTTTCCAACTTTTTACCTGCTTGAATTCATCTCAAGACACTCGTGTGAGAATGCGCCGAATTGAGAAAGCCACCCGAGGAGTCTAAACGAGCACGGTTTATCAGTGCCTCTCATATAAAACATCTCAGGGCTTATGCTATTAGCCCTGATGTCATAGAGATATATAGGCGTCGGCCTGCTCCACCCGAAACGTATTATCTAACACCTTTTACACTCAAGAATCTTCGGCTATTGTAAAAATCGACCGTAGGAGGAGGAGGAGAAAAGTGATAGTAAACCAAGATCCTATCAAGTCGTTGCAATTGAGTTTGATTGATGAAAAAAAGCTGCGATCCAGGAGTCACGACGCGGTCGTTTCACTTTCCCATAGACTCCACGGGAAATGCGCACATAACAGTAGTGGATGAATCTTTCGTGGATTCCTCCGCCGAGACCGCAATCTGAAGACGTGAGGTAAAGAACTTCGCGGAAAAAATTATAATAGAGTAAAAGAATGGAAGGTGCGTGAAGTAGGAGAGAACGAGAGAGAGCGGAGGAGGCTGGGATGTCAGCTTGCGGAGAGGGCCTTGTCCCTTGACACACTTGCGAGCCCGCTTCTGACCTCAACACGGAAGTAGCCGTGAATGCGGAGTGCTGAGAGTGTGCTCATGCTCGTCCCGACTCCTGAGAACCTGGCTCCTTTTCCCTTTTCTTCTCTGATCCCCTCTTCCCCGCATTCGAATGACACTCCAAGCACCTATCGTATAATAAACCTGATGAAGGCATTGATTGACTGAACGAAAGCAGACAGCATTGACCCTCTCTTCTCCCTCCCCCCCCTCACCCCCACACCCCCCTCACCCCCTCACCCCCCTCCTTCTCCACCTGCCTCCTCCACCCCACCCCATCTCCCATCGCCCGACTCCACCCACAATAATCATAAACTTGCCCCGGGCATTTCCATCAGCACCATACGGGGAAAAGTAAAGAGTTCAATAACCCTTTTTATTTACCCCTATTTTTCTTGTTGTCTCCGGGAGGCATTAGAATTGCACTCTTTTTTTTTTCTCGCCATGGTTGATTTTCACCACGACCAGAGATGCACATCGTAAAAGCGAGACCGTGACCTTGTCCGTGCTTGTCCGAAGCAATAGACCCGAAAAACATATTGAGAACTAAACCCGTCAAGTCTTTCGCTCTTCGCGCTTAAAGAATGCTAAATTCCTCGGGATCCCAACGAGCAGCGATTCCTTCAGAGGGCGTTGACTCCTCAGGTTTCTCCCAGGACAATTTTTTTTTTAGATTGCGTTCCTCGAATTATGAAACACTGTCAGCGACGAGCTTTACATCCATAGCCAGGACCCAAGCAAATCTCTCCCTGCAAAAACCTATCTGTCCGTGCCATCTCCAAGGAAACACGGACCAATGACTTTTATGCACTCGCAAAAGCAGCTCGTCCGTCAAATGTAGAGCAATTGTAGCACACCGAGTACGAAGTGTTTGTGAGCCGTGACTCATTCTCGGAGAGGTCGAGGTGAAATCAGCAATTCAGAGTAGATGGACCGTTGACATATGGCCAGCACCGAGTCCCACGGTTGCACGATAACCAGAAAAACAAGCGGGGCGAGTGTCGGCGTAACGGCTCCCGGCTCTCTTTCCCACCCGTCCTCCCTCGCTCCTCAAAAAAGAAAATGCCGGCCCTGTAGCGCCGCTCGGGGTGTCACCTACAATTTATGGAGGCGTTTCATTCACGCCAAACTTTTTATGGAGCGCCTTGAGACCTGATTCATCTCTCGTGCTGAGAAATGATGAGACTGCACTTCTCAACAGGATAATCATTCCGAGCCAAGTTACAAGCGGGAAGTTGCAATTACAGCGTTCAAATTTATATTTTTCGGAACAGTCCAATTTTGGTCTGTGGTCCTGGTGTCAAAATTTGGGGGTTCAGAAGCAAAGTGGTGAAACTCAATCTTTTTTTTTTTTTTTTTCCTTTATTAGATTTCTCTATCGAAATGGTGCGGACGGCTCCTTGACTGTGTAAGAAAGAACGAATTGAAAAGAAAAATAGTCGAGACGAAAATTAAAGTATGAAATATCGACCGGCTGGGCTCGAAATATGCTGGGCATGAACACGATAACTCCTCCGCCGATTCCCTCGAAAAATAAATAATAAAAAATAAATTTTAGTGGGTTACCTTGTTCCGCTTCTAAGGCCCTCATCGAACCCTTCCCGTTAAACATTATCTATGCAATCGTTACGCCTTGGCTCGCGTCGCGATTCCTAATAGGCAAAGCAGGTCAACGATCATCCCCTGGATTCGAGGATGCATAAATGACCTAAAATCGAGGATGGAGAAGCGACGCGTAGGCGCAGAAGAGCCGGAAACGTGATGAGTCACGAAAACTACTTTCCGGGAGTCTCGACCCATCTCTTTCGACGAACATAACGGGCATCCCATGAAATCTCCATGAATGGATCAAGAACAATGGAATCGGATGAAAACTCCTGGCTGGATTGTGTCTCGTGTAGTTCAAGTTCGATCCCTACTATCCCAGTGACCTGGATTTTTTTTTACCCTTTACAAAGATATCCCATATGTCCATCGAAACGAAGTCATTTCTCGGAAGAGACCAACGCGAGCCGTGGCCCCCGGGCTAGGCCCCGCCTTTTGGTTCGTTCCTCGTCATTACGGAAAATCCCTTATCCTCATGTCGTTGCGGGGAAGATCACCAGATGGTACTTGGCTCTTTCCCGAGGTCGGCATGCAAAGTAGCGGCGTCATGATTTGCATCGTTGGCCTGCTGTTGGCACGAAGAGGGGGGGCTTCTTTCTTCCTCCGACCGGAAGCTGCGTTGTCATCTGGCGAGCGGACAATGTGGCATGAATCAGATTCAGCACCAGATGTCAGATGTGAGGAAATCTCTTCTCCTGCCGCGTAATTTCCATCTTTCGGCTTTTCATCCGCATATCATCCTTTTCCTGGTTGGGAGGCTGGAGGGAAGGTCGTTGACTTCATCTCTCTCTCTCTCCCTCTCTCTCCCTCCGTTTCTGCCGGCGGCGATCTACCTGAGCCCGGGCCCTTGGAATGCCTCTCACTGCGGCAGATTCCCGCCTCACGTCGTAACTAACGGGAAATGCTACTCCACGCACACGCGGAAAAATCTACGATGAGACTAAGATAACAGGGAGGGAGAGGGAAAGGTGGAGCTCCGACGCAGGGGAAGGGAAGGGAATGGCTGCGGCGACCGTTTGATGGAATTGGAGCATCAGAGTTCGGCCATCCCTGCAATGCAACGCTACGGGAAACCGTGAAGAAACCTGCAAAACTAGAGAGAAAAATCCTCTCCTGCCCCCGTGCCTTTTCGCACCTAACCGCGAAGCGACGCCTTGTGGTCATAAATACTCTTGTCAGTTATCCATCCAAACGGAAATATCAGGTTGATTCGATGGTTTCTCTGGTCTCTGGGATCGGCACCTGCCGATTGAACCCTTGAATCAAAAAAGAAACACTGAAAGGTACGCAAGAGAGCTGCGTTCAATCGAGGAACATTATTTTTCCATCTAAGTACGTGGTACAAGAGTTGAACAATCCGACGCCATGGCGGGGGCTTTCACAGCGCGCTTGAAAAAAAAAAGTCTTGATTACGCGCAATGAGCCAGAACGATTCAGGATTTCTAACGGAGGATGTCCCTTGCATCTGCACTTAATGAACCTTGTTACCCCTGACTTAATTGTAAGGCTGGGTCACTTACTGGTATTGATAAAATTCAAAGCATGTTGGACTCATAAAACCGTGGTACCGGTTTCCAGTCCTCGTAGCCCAGTACTACAACCCAGATATCGTTATCCGCGTCACGGCCTCCATTCAACTCTTAAATAATCCACGAAGCATGAATATACAAACAAAAGGGCAGAAGAATAGAGGCACTTTTCCACTCCTCCTACGGCATTTCAGCCGACGAGCCCTTGGAGTACCTTTAAGAGTCATGCTCCGAGGCCAGGAGGAGCCGAGGAGCAGATCGCTCAGTGCGAAAGGATCCTCATGGAATTTGTGCAACCGTAAAGTTCCGCCTGGGATCTCATTGCTTCCATCCCATTTTGATTTTCATACAGGAGGGAAATGAGCATGAAATTAGGCTGCGTGAATAGAAACTCCCACCCATCCCGAGGCAGAGCCATCTTTTCGTATTTCCTTCCCCCACCCACCCTCTCTCTCTCTCCTCTCTCTCCTCTCTCCTCTCTCTCTGAGAGTTCAAACTGGGCAGAGGAAAAACCTAGTTCAGTATCGAGTTTTGGAGCGTACCTTTATAGATTATGCAGGCGAATAATGCACCATACGAAGAATGTAGAAGGGTAGAGATGAATACGAAAATGCCCCAAGAAAAAGACAGTACGGATTGATGGTCCAGAGATCTGGGTCATTGCATAAAGAGCCTAATTTCCTCTTTGAGGGCAGGAGGCTCGCTAGCAACAAACATTATTCTTCGAGGTGTTGCGAAAATTAATTTCCCCCAAGGCAGTGGCTGGAGCTCTTCACCCACGTAACCATATTCAGAGCAATTAATCCTCGACTCATCCCCATGGCACCGGGGTCCAGCGTCGATCGTTTCACGTAACGTGTAACTCGTGACGTGTAACGAGTTACTTGACTCCAGCAGGCCGAGACCTAACCCTAGTCATGAGGTCTTATCTCAAGTGAATGAATGAATGAATAGGCCTGCGCTTGCCTTCCAAACCAGATCGCGAGAGCCTTAAAACGAAAAGCAATACCAAATGCACAGGATGAATGTCACGAGAAACAAGTCGTCAAAATAAGTACCTGCAAAAAAGATGCAGCAAAGCTATGTATTAAGAAAGGAACTGAATACAACGAGCTTAGCGAGTGTTACGACGAAGGCAAGGAAGATAGTGGCTTGCATAGGATGAGCAGAGAGAGATGCAGATAAGGAATGGATGAAGCAGTCAGACAGGTTTCTCATAACGTCTCACTTATTCATGCGGAATCGGGTCGTGAAAGGGGTAGGTTCACGGGAAGCCGGAAACCTTGGGAGAGATATTAAACTGGTCGCACTGGCAAGCAAAGAATCCGGCCTAAGACTTGCAGGTGTGAATGCCCTCAGCAGAGAGGCTTTTTTTTTGCATTTATTACGCGACGGAGACAGAAGGGAATGTGATTGCAGGCTTTCTAGTAATGCATCTAAGTAATGTTTCATGTGCTCTGAAATACCGGCGATGGAATTCCCGGCGGAACTGGACTTGCCCGGGCCCCGCAGCGACGAACTCGGACACTGCACACTCATCATGGCCGGCAAAAATGAGAAATAAAATCACGGCGCCGGTCATGGAATCTAAGTGACCGACCTCCAAAACCGATTACTCGAACGGCTGAGTGCTCGCGCGAGCGCGTTGATGAGAGGTGCCGCGGCGGTTCCCGTTCGCGAACCCGTTCGCGAACTGAATGAGCCCCCGCAGGATGGACCCAAACTTCCCTTCCCGGGAAAATGCGACGCCACGATAATGTTTTTTTTTAAGTGATGCTCTCCGAATCATTAGGCACAAATTGGAAAATGACTCCCTTAGTACAGACTTAAGTCCAATAGAGGCTCACGACGAGATCCTGTACCGCAATGTAAAAAAAAAAAATGAGCGAGAGGGGTGAGCAGTCGGGCGCAAAGTAGAACGAGAAACTCGAACCTCTGGGTGGGCTTGGGTGTCTTGAGTCAAGTAACTCCAGACTGTGCCGTTGTTCTAAAGCCGCTTGAAGCCTACGTTCATATCCCGCATCTTTGTCAGACAATTATATGGCTCTCAGAACTGCGTAAACAAAGACACTGGCGAGAGAAACCTCTTTGGACATCGCATTACGTTAAGAAAAATGGCGAGAAAAATATTTTTTTCACACTATGAATAATCTCTCCTTTTTTCTCTTTCATTCAGGATGTGGATTCCCAGGCTCACCGTCGCATGCCGAAGTGCAATTTCGACCCGAGGGTCCCATCGGACCGGGGACGGTAGCCATCTACTCGTGTGAAAGAGGATTCGAACGATTGGGACCCGCTCAAAGGCTATGCAACGACAATGGGACCTGGACCCCCGCTGGGATCCCATTCTGCGGTGAGCGTCCTCTCGAGATTCCTTTTCCGTTTCCTTCTCCGCAGAAAGTACTGTTTCATAAATGCCACGAAAGAAAGTAAGGCGTCGAGAGTCGGCATGTAGGACGAATCCAGCTTTCTTTCGTGTCGAGACTGCTGCAACAATCGTCGGGCATTGTATGCCGAATCAAAGAAGATAAAGAGAGCTTTCCGACGGCATAGAATCCACATTAATCGCCGCAAGCAATACCGAGACATGAAAGGGAAAAGCAGGACTACGTCTGCTAAAAAGATTCGAAAGTGCTTTTCTTTTGGAATGGTGACGTGCACTTTTCTAAATGCGCCGTAAAACTGTACGCTACATTCATCGTAAATATCACACGCACGAAACATGCGGCGACGAGTGAGATGTTTAATTTCCCATTTTCTCATTTTTACGGGAGTTGATTTTTTTCCTTACAGTGCTGAACGTGGCCGCAGGCAAGGCCCCAAAACAATCCTCAGATGCGGAGCTGGGATTCGCTCAAAAAGCAGTCGACGGAAGCACGAGCGACACGTTCAACCCGGAGACGTGTGCCCTAACGCAGAGGGAGAGGGATCCGTGGTGGTACGTGAATCTCCTGGAGCCGTACATGATCCAGCTCGTCCGCCTCGACTTTGGCCTCTCTTGCTGCGGTGAGCACTATAGCCATAGACAGAACACCTAAGTGCGTGGAAGGCACGATGTGTGGCAATTAAATTCCAGGATGGAATTTTTTTTAAGTCGAGAAGACGACAAAGATGAAGACGGGTGGGGCAGATCGACCGCGAGTCACAATGACGAAGGTGTTGCACCTTCGTTATCGTACGGGTTCGAAACCTTTCGAGGCGTTCAAAGGACCGGAATATGACAATGCATCCTGCCGTGCAGTCGTTGCAACATGGGGGATGGGTCTCGGATGCCGTTTCTTCTAGCTTGAAACAAGACTTGACGATGCGTTGCATCATTCTAGAAATACGACCGGCGCTTTACACACTGCGTTGCTTCGTTGCCAGCCTGTCTGAGATTGCAGACAGACTTTAAACACGGCAGACATTAGCGACGCGGCATGAAGACTTGCACAACGCTGCTCGGCAGTTTAATGTATCAGTGCATGGCGTGGCAGTACGCGTAACGGCGTCACTGTGCTCATAAAAAAAATCCAGTCCTGGTGCTTAATTGTCACACCTCGTAGAGCCTCTCATGTCAAAGGTGAGACCAGGAGAAAGCCATCTCCAGAAAGCATTACTACTAATTAACTGGAGCGTGCCGGTTGATAAGGCGACTAGAGCAGGAAGGCGTGACGCGGGAATGAGAAGGGCTTTGGGAGAAAGCTTCTTTTCTCTCTTCTCAACTGTTCCTTTCAAATTTCTTCCGTCGTCGACTCAGACGAGGCAATGACAAAGGAGAAACTTGTGATATCAACCTGGAGTCGATCCGGACTCCATCTTCCCCTTTCATTTGGGGGTACGTTATGCCCCACGGCCCACGCCTCTTCCAGGGGTCAAAGCCACGCAGAGGGAGCATGAGAAAAGAAAGAGTCTTAATTTGAGGGTCATCGAAGAGGTCCATTTCCACGCTTGCATCTCTGAGTCTGGAGGGTCAACTCCGGAATGGAACATCAAGGGAGAATGTGGGGCTGGACATCTGTCTCATCCTCGAGGAGGAAGGCTTGGAGGGAAGATAACATAATGGTGTTAACAGTTCTTCTCTCGTCAGGCATCTTTCCGGTTGAGCGAATCCATTGCAGACTTACTGTAGTCCATTGCACCGGTTCTCCTTAGGACATATGCTGTCCTGTCCTCCTGGCTATCCATTCACTTCCTGCATATCTCTAGGTCCTTGTCCTTATGCTTTTAATGCGGAAAGAAAAGAAAAACCATTGCGCAAAAAACCGCATTACATGGTGCCAGATGGAAGGATGTGGTCGTGAAATATCGTCATTTTTCTTCATTCTGTGGGCACATTCTTGATAATTGTAAATTCTCAAGAGAATCCCGAGTTCATTTTGCGGATGCTGCGGATCAATTAAGAACTGAAATTCATTGCAGGGAACAACATGCCGGTGACGGTGACTGTCCGGGTGGGGAACAGGAGGCCAGACCGAGTGGTGAACGAGGTATGCAACAAGTACACGGGATTCATCGAGGAGGGACGACCCATTTTCCTCCCCTGCAATCCGCCGATGAGGGGAGCCTTCGTGAGCGTTCACCTCGAAGGCCCCACGCCCCTCAGTCTCTCATTGTGTGAGACGTTCGTATACACCGATCAGGTGAGCCGACGTCCCCGGATCCTACCGGTGTGGATGACCAAGCACGTTCTTCCGCTGGAAAAGGCTGTATGGCTGAATGCCGACCCTTGAATCGTGTGTATCTGGGACTTTATGCTGGATTCTTCGGATAAACATACACCTTAAACTAGGTCAAACCACTGTTCGTGACTCTCATATAATTTTACCGACTTTCGCCCCATCAGTGAGGCCTTATTAAGAAGTTAACTTCCTCTCATGCCTCTCCCATTATTAATTTCTGGGAATCTCATCGCATCCTACGTGAGTTACTTAATTACAACCGAATCCTGGTCAGGTGAAAGGCCTTGGGGGCTGGGATTTCCTTCCGTCTCTCTGATTCGTAGCTTTTACGTGATCAATTTGAATGGTGTGGAACAATGGTTTTAGAAGAAGGAATTAATCACTTCACGCTCCGTCACTGACCAGAATCCATTTGGAACTGAACACGGTCCCATGATGGTTACCCAGACCCGGATTACGAATGCGTCATTTTTCATTGACTTCTAAAATGATCGTGATTTGGGTTATGGTCTTCATGTCCCACGGAATTTTAGGCCAGCTTCACACCGACAAATGAGAAATGTTCCACCAAGAGTATGAGGTTTGAAGTCGCTGTTGCGTGATTTTGAATTTCTCGTCCCCTCGCAGGCCCTTCCGATGGAGAGATGCCCGTCGTTTCGGGACCAGCCTCCGGGAAGTACGGCCACGTACTACGGAAAATGCTACACCTTCTACAACCGGCAGCCGATGAGCTTCAGCCAAGCGAGAAAGTTCTGCTCCGAACGGGGAGGGACATTAGTGGACGAAACGAACCCGGCATTGCAAGGATTCTTCTCGTGGGAACTTCATCGCCGGCACAGGTCGGTCCCGTTTTTCGGAAACCCTGTTCATATTTTTCACTTCATCTCAGGGCCAAAGACGTGTGAGATTACGAACCATGGAAGATGAAGGAGGAAGAAGAGAGAAAAAAAAGCGTGAGAGACAGTGAGAACCAACGGCGAAGATGCCGATCTTGTCCTTCTCCCTCCTCCATTAGGTCGACTAGCAGACCGTGAGCGACACCTCGATCGACTTTTCCTTCCCCCATCACTAGCCTCGTGTCTCTTTTCCCTTTCCTCTTTTCCTCGGTTTCCAGTTTCTTAAGAGGTAGGAAGTGGACCGTGCCCGAAGAGAAATCCTCCTTGCCTTAACGAACTCCCGCTGTGTTTCTCTTTCCAAGCCAATTTTGAATTATCCTTCTTTAAGAGAAATTACGGTTCTTCCTCATGGGAACAATGGCTGAGTACGTGGCATACAATGGGAACCCGGTTGGGAGAAATGAAGGGAAATTAGGCGGGAATTAGGACAACTGTTGAGGGTTTCGACTCGTCATCTGCGGGAGATAAAGTAGTGAATATTGAAGATGGGAAAAAGATCCCGGATTTCTCCCTCCTTTAGAATAGCGTAGACTCTTCACGGCTTCTGTTATGCGATGACGCAATCTCTCCTTCTATCCCACGTCGGTAGCGATTTAGATCTTCTGCCATTGTTCTACTCTGAAAGAGTCTCGTGCCAGGAAGAGCCAAATCACGTCTCTTATGCAACCGCGCCTTTGCCCTCATGCAGCACGAAAGCACAAAACAAGTCCACGTGGCGATTGTTCCCTTCGAGTAAATCCAATTCTGCTGTCATCATGAGATTTTCTCTCACTTCGTCCAGGGTCCTGGATTCAACGGCCCAATACTGGATGGGGGCCATCCGTGACCAGAGGAGCAGTTGGAAATGGATCAATGGTCGAGACGTGAAGATGTCTTTCTGGAACAGTTCCAGTGTCATCGGGGAACACGACTGTGCTCGATTCGATGGCTCTCAACGATGGCTTTGGTCCACGGCGGACTGCAATTCCAAGCTCAACTTCATTTGCCAGCATAGTCAGTTTCCTCCCTCTATTTTCGAAAGTAAAATGACCCACCCTAATAGAGATAGGGCCGTCGAGACCTTATCTGAGGGCGCCAGGAAGAATATATCCTCAGCACGACCCACATTTCCAAAACCTGTTTTGAAAGGAGGTCTACCGGGACCTCAGGTCAACCCCTTTCCCATTCATCTTTGAATTCCGTAGGCAATGAACCCTACCGTTTGGGGCCTCTAAGCCCCTATTTGTGCCGAAACCCCAATCTTCCCATCCCCTTCATTGAGTCCTCCGTTGGGGCAGTCGTCTTAGGTTCTTCAAGTAATGCGTTTTTCTTTGGAATCCCGGAACTTCTTTACCACGAGGATCGCCGTTGGTAACAGTAAGAAATGTCCTAGGGATCGTGGAGGGAGTCATACATCATCTTCTCCGTCATTTTATTGTTTCTCTCACTGCCTGGCTGGCTTCATCCATATTTCTGAGCTCCTCTCAGATCCTCCCCAGGCAATAATTGTTGCTAAGTATCAATGAATAAGCCAGGAAAAATTTTTGCGACCCAGATCCTTCTGCGAGCCATGCTGTCGAGAGTCTCTTTCGATGGGTGAACAGGGTTCCTAACCTAGGGTAACACATCGGATCAAGCACACGGGGCACACGTGATATTTCCTGTTAGCAACTCCTCGAATAAAAACTCTGAACTTGATTTGACGACCTGAGAAATCCTGGAGCTTACCCTGGTTTTAATTAACGGTAAGAAGAAACTGTTACGGTTGCGTCATGTGCAGCTGCTCCCTGAAACGGACACCAAATATGGGAGGGACCACCTGTGAGACAGATTGAGGCTCAGGTCACTAAGCTGCCATAAGAAGACATCATGCAATACAAGTAATCGAGGGCGTGGCAAACCATAAATGCTTTTGTCATTCCGAGATAGGGATGGGTTGAAAAAGAACGTCATCGAGCCAGCTGACTTTCAAGATAACACACTCCATGACTCATAAACATAAGTGAAAACTACTTCTCAAGCGGTTCTACAGTTATTTTTTTCAATTGAGTTCGACAATATCCGAGTCTGACAGGTTGTCGTTTGATTATGCTCTTGAAAGTGTAGGACTCCCATGGAAACCACAGTTGTAGGTTGGAAATCCAGGTCGTCGATCCAGGCAGTGAAGCGTATCCCAAGCGGAAGAGGCTGTCAGGGAAGTCGAAATAAAGGCGCAGCATAGTTTGTGGACTGCGTGGTGCCACAATAAACTATTCGTCATTTTCCCGTTGCACTCAGGAAGCAAGTTAATAAAGTTAATAATATTAGTTAATAAAGACCTACAGAGCTGTTGAAAACGTACAGGCACTGACGTCATTCAGTTGCTCCCTCCGCCGGATTAAGAATTATTCATTGCAGAAGTTTCACAATTCTCATCCATATGGTCGGAACACCTGAATGACGTCAGAGTATTAGAACGCCTATAGTTAGGTGTTATTTTCACCGTAGATAGGATTACAAGAGGAAGTCACCGCAGCCTAAGACGGAGTTATTTTTTTTTTTGGGGGGGGGGGGGGGGGGGGGGGGGGGGGGGG